AATAAAAAGATAGTACTTAAAACAGGGGTTCACATTCTGCAAAATCTCCAAGTCAACTGATGATGTTTCGCACAAGTTTCTGCTTCTACATCATTATATCTTCCAAATGCAATGAGAAATTTAACTCCTGACATTTGAGAAATATAACTCTTACCTCAGTACTAATCAATTCAAATTTAAAAACTATGAAAGTTAAAAGGATATCATTTGAGGTCTTAGAAATTACAGTTGGAAACAAAGGTTCAGAGGGCACAGAATCAGTTTGGGGAAGGAAGTAAAGTTGGAAAAGGGAAAGGAAAGAACGAAGAGAGGAAGGAAGGGAAAGAGCGGGAGACAGGAAAGAAGAAAGCATGAAAGCTGGGAGGGTGGGAACTTGGGCTACTGAATGTTAAGGAGGAACAGTGACCAATTAAAGATAAAGAAAAGAATATAAACCGGAAGAGAAATGTCCATGACACAAGAGCTTGATAGCCCCTTGCTATGCATCTTGATCTCCTGGGGACAACATGATTATAGTTCCAGACATTCCAGATGCCCATAGCCAACAAGTAGGCACAAGTCACACTCCAGGCAACAGCTGGAATGATGAAAAGTCCTTCTCCCTTGATGGCCTCTCAACTCCAATTTTAAAAGGTCTTATAATGCTATTTTCATTGTAATCTTCCTTTCATTTTTACACCACGCTCCCTGCTCTCCACCCAACAAAAAATTTTTTTACTTTAAGCCGTATCTTCAAAGATTGTACAAAGTTGTTTTTATTTTTTTTTTGTCATGCAGATTGAACCCTGGGCCTTGCACTTGCAAGGCAGGTGCAGTGCCACTGAGCCAAATCCCTGGCCCCATCAAAGATTATTTTTAATTAAATAAATCATAGAAAAATAAATTTATCATTAGCTTATGTTTATTCTGACTTCTAATTTCTGTACCTTAAAGCCAACTTAATGAACTACAAAAGGTACATAGTTGACCTAGGGTATAAAACTATACCATGAATATTTTCCCCAATCATCAGAGAGTACTTTGAATCATCCGAGGCCAATTTAAAAAAGAGTTTTCAGTACCTGGCATACTTCATATAAAACAAATGCTACTTTGATGATAATCCTTTGGAGAATAGGGAAATATCTAGAAGTTGTTATAATTTTTAAAATGAATACATATGTACTTTTCCATAAACATTCAAAATGTAATCTGAAATTAAAATATTTTGGCCAAATAACCACACGTCTGTTTTTTTCTCCCATCTCTTTTTGGAGAAGTAATCACAAGGTTCTATGTTTCTTTTAATAGAAGCTAATTCCCTGAATATGTAGATAATAGAACATCCAGCTGTTTGCCGCTGGAAGGAGGAACAAAGAGAAAAACAGATTGCTATTGAGTATCTCTAGGCATAAAACTGCTACATAGAAAAACAACAAAACCTCACTAAGAGTAATTGCTTATGAATCTGGGATCAGCTGAAAATCAGCAAGGTAGCTGCATAGTACAATAATATGTTCTCCTCAACTTTCATCTTATAGTAAAACTATTAAGGAAAAAAAATAGAACAAAAGATCTGTAGGTAAATATGGTGTCTTCATTACTTACCTAACTAGATGCTGTGTCCTTACCAATCATTTTTGTTTTCTATTTGAAGAGAAATAGATGAGTCTATTTAATATTTTTATAAGGTTAATGAGACTAGTAACTTTTTTAAAATAAGGAAAGCAAAAGAAATTTAAACGAGCATAAATTTAATTTTGTATTTGTTTTTCTTTGTTATGTGTATATGACTGTGAATATATCGTGACAAAAATACAGCGGTACCTTGGTTCATGAGCTTAATTCTTTCCACTTTTTGTGTTGCAAACCAAATTGGACAAGAACCCAGTCAAATTCAATGGTTAGGTTCGATGTCGACTTTATGGGAAGATTGGATTCAGTTCTTGTCCATTCAGTTTGCAACCAGAATCGTGGAACAAATTAAATTCATGAACTGAGGTACCACTGTATATACATTGTTAAATTGAGGTTGAATTTGGCAATTTATAGCTTGGGTGTCATTCTGATACTTCATTTACATTATTGAAATCAGTCTTCTCCTTCAGCCTGTGTTATGATCATTACAACATTAACTAAGTTCATCTAGCAAATAAATATTTCATCTTAGGCAGGATGGCCAACATTCCCTCCTTTACTTTTCGTTAAGATTTATTGTGCATTTTGTGTTATTATTGAGATAACTACTCTTAATTACATAATCCTTACCAGTCTGTGTGTAATGATGGACTCTGTGTGTGCATGTGTGTGTGTGTGTGTGTGTGTGTGTGTGTGTGTGTGGAAAATGACTTCAAGAAACAGATATTATACATTTCAAAAACTATTAACTTGGGAAAGAAAATGCACATCATTTGAACCTTTAGCTCCAGTTGTATTTATATACCAGCTCTGTGGTATGTCTGTCTTCTTAGTAATCACTGTAACTTTTTTCTAATCTTCTTTTTAATGCTACATGTTATTTACTTTTGAAAATAGGATAAATCCCCAAAATTTTAATCAATGAAAGTTATAATTTAGGCCCTCACTACCTATACACAATGTGTGCAGTCTTACAGCAAGTTTGCCCTCAAGAGTTTTGCCTTAGGAGAGCCCTGTAAAACTATCTTTATGTTTAAGAAACTTGATCTTTTCACATGATACTCAACAGGTGTGTATCTTATGTTTGTTTTCCTTTGGCATGGCCCAATTTAACACTGAGATTTTAGTGGAACAACATGTTCTTCTCATATTTTTCTTTTAACTTCAGAATCTGGGATCTGGATACATATAAATTTTTTTCACTTTATTTTTATCTTGTTTTTTATTTTATGCATGCTTGCAGGACATAACATTCACATTCCCTATACAGAGCTGGTATATATGCATAACACACCTTAATTCCTTTTTTCTTACCCTTACTCCCCCGCTTTCTATTTGAGAAACATCTATCTCTCTACTTCCTATTATCTGTCTTTTATTTTGCTCTATCAACCCAGTTAAGAGAATGTGACTGGGAGAACTTCAAGAGGGGACAGGTAGTCTATGGGACTTGAACATCTGAAATTATGTTAGAACAACTTGGGGCTTTATGGGAAAGACTAGGGATTGCAAGGAGTAGATAATGTACCCTTGTTATTTCCATCACCTTCCCATATACATAAATTAATAGGTCCTTTTATAAAGTAATCTGGCCTGCTGATGTCTTGATTTGGCAAATTATAGGTGTATTTTAAGCCCTGCAAGAATGAAGAGTTCAAAGAAATCATAGATCAAGGCAGTGGATCACTCAGGCATAGCCCTGCAGCCTGGGTGGGAAAATCCACAATGTTATTATCCTATCTATAAAGAAGCTACTACTAAGTGTCTGAGTATTAATATTTAAACGACAAAAACTGACAAGAGGAGATGATTACTAATACTGAGACACTGTCGTTTTGCAAAGTGAAGGAGGACCACAGACCACATCTCCCCCCAAGGATTCTATTTCAAATAGTCACCACATGAGGAGGGGAACTCAGAAAAGGAATGCTCATGACGAGACATAGAGGAGTGATGAAGAGGCCTCCTTACTTGTAAGGAAAACAGTCTCAGCATTGTGAAGCTGCAGCCGAAAAAAGCAGACTGGAGGAAAAGCCACACTTTTAAGTTACATATCCAACAAAGATGTCTTAAGCCTCTAAGGAAGAATTAGCTCCTTATTAGTTAGTTATTTCTAAACTGCAGCAAATAAGTGACAATATCTTGTTAATGGTTGAAGAGACCTTTGCTTGGGAAAAATATTGTAACACTAAAATAAGCTTTTCTAATATTTAAGGTAAATGTGTTTAATTCCTCCTAATAGGTACTTGATGTATATCCTTGTCAGCATTCCAAATTATTATTACTGATAAGTACATGATATGAATTCAGAAGTCCTAATATACTTATGAATGTATTTTGTGCATTTCAGTTAACAAATGGAATGTAATGTTTGGCATACTAGTTAACTTTAATCCATAGACGAATATTTATTTGCTGCATCTGAATCTTACTCTCAATACTTACCTTGCTGGGGAAGAAAAGTTGTATGTTTTGAGGTAGTTAGAGGTCACCATAGGAACAAAGGACAAACTCACTCCTGCATCCTTAACCTGTTATTCATTAAAGCATGATTTGTGTTCTATTCTGATAGGAACTTAAATGTGGTTTTTGCTAAATACTGTGACTCTTTACCTGGGCCTACAAATGCCCAATAAGTAACTAAAAGAAGAACAAAGCTTTTCATTTTGTAAAACTCTAGGTCAAATTATTTTCAGCTCTGCATATAGACAAGTTAGTCATATATGGAGTGTCTAAACTACGCCAGCACGAAGTTTATTAGCCTTAAATTTACCTAGTCTATCTCATCCTCCTTCAAGATAGAGGGCATCAAAATAAGAATAACTAAAGAGTTTTCCAAGATTCTCAGGGACATTCACTGAATGTCCAGTTCCAGAACTCTCTGGAGCAATGCTTTGCAGTCTCCAGCCATTGTCCTGAACCAGCAATCACTTGGGTTTCATGAAAAGCAGAGCCTTGCATGACTGAAGCCACCACAAAGGCAATCATTTTATGGGAACCGAATCATTCCCAAAGCCAGGACGACTCATCCAGAATGAAGAAATCAGGACCAAGGTAATGATCGACTGGACTCTGGCCCACCTTGGCTAATCCTTGAAAGCAGGTCTCCTGCTTTTGCGGGTGGGCCAGACTGATCCTTTTCATCAGAGTGTGCCCCCTCCAGCTAATACTCAAGCCAGAGTCCTTTCCTGTCTTTTTCTATCTTCTATAAACCCACACCATCACAGGATGAATGACAAGTTTTCATGGAGCATTATTTGTGTTGATCATGTATGATGAGAGGTCTATGATGCACCTGCTAATGTATCTTTTATAATTCAGGTGAGTTATCACAAGAAAAACCAATGGTGAAAGCTCTAACTGTATCACTGTTGTTTTCCTAGGAAGCTCATAGAGACACATCTGAAAACCATCCCCAGCCATGCATTTTCAAATCTGCCCAATATTTCCAGGATGTAAGTCATTTTTTTAATATAAAGAGAACTTTGCAGTTGTGACATACTACTTTTTAAAATGTGTTCTGTTAAGAAAAATATTTATTGTAGTACTTGCAGATGTTAGTAGCATTTATATTTTAATGTATTTGAAAATTTTATATAGCTGGCATTTGTCTAATTTTGCTTCATAACTACTTACTAATTCATAGATATTTTTTAAAACCTAAAGCAAATTTAAATGGAGTTGGTCCTGAGAAGTTCGTCATTCTTGGTTTATTTTAATATATCTTGTAACATGGGAGGACCTTAGCTAGGACTGTCTTCTACAAACAGATGTATATACTGCTCTCTAATCCACTTATCCCAGTTGCCAACCGACTCACTTTTCAATGCACATGAACACAAATGCTTACATTTGGTCAAAAATGTAGCCAATGGTTTCAGACTTTTATACTTAAAAAAAAAAAAAAGAAAACAAAAAAATTAAAAATAATTCTAAACCTTGAAAACTGAATTGCCATGTACTCTGTTAGGAGAAAAAGAAGTTCCATGGTAGGCTGAAAAATATAGTGTGTCTTTATTTCATTTCATTAATTCTGACATACAATCCAGGTAATTCATATATACCAGATAACATCACCAGGAGCGACCTGTACAATTCCTGGCTAAGTGTGTTCATTTCACAACCATTTACTGAACATTTATTTTGCTACTTTACTAGTTCTCACTCAGAGACGGTTCTGACACTGGACACGTTGGGCTGTCAAAACCAGAGAGGGAACTCTTCCTGGCATCTGGTGGGCAGAGGAGAAGGGCACTGCTGAGCAGCCTGCAGGGTACAGGACAGCCCCCGCACTGTAGTACAAAACTCCAGCAGTGCTGAGGCTAAGAGACCATTCTCAGTTACATTCTTTGTCGTCTTTGATGTTGCTAACCAGCACTTCCTTTTTAAAATTCTTGCGGTTTTTGGTTTCTTTGATATTTCTCACTCATCACACTTATCATCTCATCCCAAATCTTCCTCAGTCTCCTTTCCTGACTTCTCATTTAAAACATTTCTGCCAATTCCTTACATGTCAGTTCTTTTTCTGTGTATTTGGTCTTGTTTCCTCTATGCCCTACTCTCCTTGCATCAACATCTCCATTCCTTTGGCCTCACTATCACCTACTACAGTTAATTCCTAATCCCTAGACCCAAATCACCCTTACAATTCAAGCCTTCATCAGAAACTTCCTTCCAAATATCAACATGTAGTGTCCCACAAGAATTTGTAATTCAGTTGATCCCAAATAAACACATCATCTTGGCCCAGATTGTTCCTTCTCTGCTCCTCCTTTTAATAGCCCTACCATTCAGCATGTTGAAACATAAAAATCTCAAATCCCTTTTAGCTCTTCTTTTTCCCTCACCACTCTTAAACAACTGTCTTCTTGTCTTCACGTGGATGTCCCAAGAGCTTAGCTCTTACTTCATTCAGCAAATGTTTCTTGGAAGAAAAGAAACAAATATTTATTGGGCCCTACAAGGTCCCTAGCATGTGGTAAGGTGCTCCAAATATAACAGCAGACAATACGGAGCTTCCATCCGCTCCTAAGGGAGAGATGACTGCCGTGATGGGGTCAATCACTGAACACAATGGATACATGGAAGAGAGGGTGAGTTACCCATGACCTGGTTGGCAGCAGAGCGAAGGCTGCAGAAGGCTTCTGAAAAGAAATGGTGCTGTACCTGTGATCTGCATCATCTAGCAAAAAATACGGGGAGAGATAGTCCCAAACAGGAGGAAAAAACCTAGAGTTCTGAGGAATTGGACTACCTTTGTTGGGACTGGAGCTTAGGCTGAGAGAGAGGCAGAGAGAACAAGGAAGAAAGGAAGGAAGGAAGGAAGGAAGGAAGGAAGGAAGGAAGGAAGGAAGGAAGTATAAAAAGCAAGTCAGGTGTGGTGGTACACACCTGTAATCCTAGCTACTCCCGGGCTTGAGGCAGGAGGATTAGAAATTTAAAGCCAGTCTGGGCAATTTATCCAGGCCTTATCTCAAAAAAAAAAAAAAAAAAAGTCTATGGGTATAGCTCAGCACTAAAGCATTAGCCTAGCATGCACAGGCCATTGTTGCAATCAACAGTACCACAAAAACAAGCAAAGAGAGAGGTGGACAATAGGAAAGTCCTACCGATCATGTAAAGAAATGTGAAATCTTCCCAAAGGCCCAAGCCACCGAATGAGCACATTTTCATTTCAGAAGCGTCACCTGGGTGGTGCTGTGGAGAAGGGTTCACAGGGCAGAGGCTGGAGACAGGAAGCCAGGGCAGAGGCCAATGTGGCACGCAAGGGAGACAGCAAATTGAATAACGGTGGCTGAGTGGAATAAAGACAACATAGAGAAACTGAATAAATAACTACGGGAGTATTTACATACTTAAAGCTCATTGATCTGAATTTAGAGGGAGGTGGAGATTAGGACATCTGTACAGTTGATGAACACATTCACTGAGATGCACAGGAAGTTTTTGTGTTTTGCTGTGGAGGGGCATGGGGTAAGTTAAGAATTTAGTTTGGAGCATATGCTGTTTGAGGTACAGGTGTATACAGTGGGCATCATGACACAGACATGATTTTTATTCATTCAGTAAGTATGCAGCCTCTGGCATGTGTCGATCACTCCTCAGAGAGCTAAGGATCCATGAGGGAACAAATGGATAATGGTCCTTGCTCCCACAGAGGTTATATTCAAACGGGAGGAAACAGGCCACGGATCAAGAACATAATAAATGAGTAAATTATATACCAATTTAGACAGGAATACTGTAAACTGGAAAAAGAAAAAGTAGAGTAAGGAGCATTGAAAATGCTGTGTGTGTGGAGTACACAGAGGAGAAGTCTGAGAAAAGATTGAGACTTGTGGGTAGTAAGCAGGTGGATGTAACTGGAAACAGAAGAAGAAGGTATTAGCAGAGAGAGAGAGAGAGAGAGAGAAGAGAGAGAGGGACACTAAGAGTAAGAAAGAACAACTTTAAGAGCATGTGGTCCTTGAGGAGGCAAGATTGGATGGAATCCAAGCCGAAATATTGACTTTCTGTAGGAAGGTGGAGACTTTTTGTATCATAATAAGAAAGTTACAGTAAAAGACTGGGCAGATGCAAGTAAATTAATGTGCTGTTCTTGGTGGTGAATGCAAGACATTCACATTTCAAGATTTCAATATTTTCTACAAATCATTAAAAGGTTATCTAACAAGATTGAGGCTAGAGCTATCTGTTTGAAATTTGAGGTTTGAAAACTGTGTTGACAATAAGAGAAGGGCTGACTGAGATTGACAGGACACCAGGCAGATCTGAAGGCCCCACTGAGGCTTCTAGGGAGATAGTGTTGGATTCTCTGGGGGTCTTTTCCATACCTGTTGAGAACACTTAACGCTTGCTCTGTTAATCCCATTTACTTATCTGTATCCCCCACTACCAGGAACTCTTTGAAGCTAGGGAGAAGTTTGTTTTGCCAGTTTCCATCCAGACATCTGACATAAGGCAAATGTTCAATAGATATTTGTTGAGTGAAAACAAATACACATACATGAGAAATGAAGATATGGTATATCTCGGGGCAGGTGGGGAGATCACCAGGGTGAACTTAGGTTTTTCTGATACAGAGCAAAATCCCACCTGTTTTTCTGGCTTGAGTATTAGTCGCACAGTATATCCTGTTTGGGATAATAAATGAGATAGTCATTGTAGTGATTACATAAGATTGACAAGATAAGAAGAGATTTGAAGATGAGATGGGATCTGATTTTTTCAAATTTTAAAGTGGGATAAAGTAAGCAAAGTATTACTACTATCCCACTGATGAAATAGTCCCTACACGACTTCACAACTATATTTTACCAGCCCTGAAAGGAGGTGCCTTTAAATTGGAGAAAGAATAATTTTGGTTCCCATGTTGGGGACTGAAGGACTATCTCTCTAAATTCTTGAGAAAGGCTCACGCTTCTGAACTAAGAATTTCAGTAGAAAATTTGGAGCATTGGCTATGCTGAAACTTAGGGAAGCAAACTGGCAGCCTTCAAAGTGACTCTTGCCTTCTGGGCGACTCACTTCACCCGAGGTCAAACTCTTGCAGTCCTTAAACAATAAATTAATCATTTTAAATGTGTTCCACTGTTTCCTTTATGATAGAGATATAATATTTGGAATAAAAGAATTTATATAATGTTGCTATACATGGGGTAAAGAGTTCCCGGTAGTGGGGGAATACAGACAAGTGAATGGGATAACAGAGCAAGCGTTGTGTTCTCAATGGGTATGGAAAAGACCCCCAGAGAATCCAACACTATCTCCCGAGAAGCCTCAGTGTGAATGTGTCCATCATTTACCAGAGACCTGATAAATCAAAAGATAATTGTTTAAAGAATGGGTAATTCAAAACAAAAGCACAGCACCATTGTAATACTCAAAATAAACACAGTTTTTAGAGGCTCAAGAGGGAATAATTAGTGCTCCTCATAAACATTGTGTTGATGACAATATTTTACTAATAGATTCAATTCAAAGTGGATCTCAACCTTTCCTACACATTATAACCACCTAGGAAGCTTTTGAAAAGTAAAAGTACCGGATCCATCCCTCATAAAATCTGATTTAATTGTCCTGGACCAGATCTTGAACACCTGTGTATTTTAAAAGCCCCCTGAGTAGTTCAGTTGTGTGTCCAGGGTTGAGAATCTGTGATATGTCTGGGGCTGAACACCACCTGTTACTCCTTAACTTCCTCAAATGTCATAGCAATGCCTCTGTGACATCCTAAAATGCGTGCTGAATTTGTCTGCATTAGTCATTCTCATTACAAGATGGAAATTCAATAAACTAAAACCTTTTCCTTAGCTATCCTGAAAAGCGCTGTGTAGGAGTTTCTCTTTTCTTTTAACACTTAAAACTTTTATTTGAGTTTTTTTTTTTTTTTTTTTTTTTTTTTTA